TGCTAGACCTAGAGGCTCCTGTGAAATGGCCTTGATAATCACAAGTGCTGACCCTGCTGGACTTTCACTGTGAAAGTGAACATCCTTTCAGTCAGGGGTCCCACCATGGTTGGTCTCTAGTTCAGCTCATTGAACTATCAGTAAGTTTATTGTGTTAAGCTAGGCTGTCCACATTTTCAAAATTCGTGGCATGTATGTACATTTCTGGCCTGCAGTTTCCAAGAAATACTTTGTTGTAATTCTAAAGTTCTGACAGCTGAGCTTTCAGTATTGCACTACTGTCTCCTTGTCTGTGATGGGGAGAGAAAAGCAGCCCCTGCCTTCTCGTTGGCCTGTTTATTCTCCCGCCTAGGCATAAAGTCTAAGGCCAGTGGTAAACGGCACATCATTACAGGTGTGCCGTTCAGTGTCTTCTGTATAAAATACGGTGACTGATTTAAATAGTTAACGCTGCCCTTATGGGAACTATAGCCTCTAATGACTACTCATTCATCATTTTTGTGCCTATCTAGTAATGTGGCAAATTTTAGCTAAAAGTGATTAAGAATTACAAAGTTCACTTTGGTTTTAAACATCCAGAAGTTCCTCAATAGAAGGAGAAATAAAAAACAAAATGTTACCAAGGTAATGCTTTTCACTTAGTCACAAAAATTTCCATGATGTAGAAAAAAGTTAATCAGTTTATAAATTCTTTTATAATCTACAGCTGCTCTCATGCCAATTGATTTTTCAGACCAGTAACTACTTCAATAATTGTACATGAACTTAAATGTTCCAAAGGAAAAAAAAATCCATGTCTAATGGCTCCTTAAAGAAATTTTGCCTTCTGCAGCTGCAGTTGTGAGAAAGGAAAGTATAGCAGTGAGTTAAACAAATGACCATAGACACTGGATTACAGCAGAAGAAAGAATGCTGTGCATTCACTGCTTTTAAACAATTTAAAGAATTTTAAGACTTGGTCCACAAATGTAGAAAGGGAACATTTTCAATATTAATCAGAATTAATCCCTGGAAATTGGACAACTTTCATAATATGCCATCTCTGTGATTTTAAGAAAATATAAAAGAAATATTAGCATATGTGATGGTTAATTTTATGTATTAACTTCGCTGGTCACAGGCTGCCATGACAGAGGAAAATTAGACTTCCTCAATATTAAATATCTGCTCATCAAAAGTTACTGTTAAGAAAATGAACAGAAAAGTTTCAGACTGAGAGGATGTTTGCAAAATGTACAAACGACAATGGACTGGTATCCGGGATTAATAAAGAACTCAATAATAAAAACAATGCAGAAAAATTGGGAAAAGATTTGAATGTATACCTCACAAAGTAAGGTATATGATGCATATTAATGATCAGAAAGCATACAGAAGGGTTCACTGTCATTAAGTGTCAGCAAAATGGAAACCCCCATGAGATAACTCTACACATCCATCACCAGAAATAAAATGAAAACTGTCGGGGAAGATGTGAAGTGACAGGAACTCTCATGTGTTTGTTGTTCATGGAAGTGAGAAATTGTACAACCACTCTGGAAAAGTTCTAGTCGTTTCTTATAAAACTACACATACAGTTACCCTATGACTCAGTGTACTGAGTTGAATATTATCCCACCAAAATTAATATCAACCTGGAACATGTGAATGTGGCCTTAATTTTGAAATAGAGTCTTTGCAGATGTAATCAAGTTAAGATGAGGTTATACTGGATTAGAATGAGCTTTAATTCAATGACTGGAATCCTTACAAGGAGAGAGTGATTTGGATAAAGATACATATAGAAGGAAGAAGCCTATGTAACCACAGAGGCAGAGATTAGAGTGATACAGCTACAAGCCAAGGAATACTAGGGATTGCCAGCAACCACCAGAAGCTAAGAGAGACAAAGAACAGACTCCATTTCAAAACCTCCAGAAGTAGCCAGCCCCTCCAGTATGTTGATGTTGAACTGTGAAAGAATAAATTTCTTTGTTTTAAGCCTCTAAGTTTGTGGTAATTTATTACAGCAACCCTAGAAAACTAATATACCCTAGGTATTTATCCAAAGGAAATGAAAACAAAGGTTTACCAAAAACAAACAAAAAATTCTCAGCATAAGAATGTTAATAGCAACTTTCTTTTTTTTTTTTTTTTTGCGGTACACGGGCCTCTCACTGTTGTGGCCTCTCCCGTTGTGGAGCGCAGGCTCCGGACGCGCAGGCTCAGCGGCCATGGCTCACGGGCCCAGCCGCTCTGCGGCATGTGGGATCTTCCCGGACCGGGGCAAGAACCCGTGTCCCCTGCATCGGCAGGTGGACTCTCAACCACTGCGCCACCAGGGAAGCCCAATAGCAACTTTTTTAAAATGACTAAAAACTGGAAGCCATCAAGGTGTCTATTAAGGAGAATGGATAAACAGTCATATATTCATATAATTGAATGCTATTTGATGTTTAAAAAAAGAACAGACTACTGATGTATGCAACAACATGGATGAAGTTTAAAAACTATACTGAGTCGGGCTTCCCTGGTGGTGCAGTAGTTGAGAGTCCGCCTGCCGATGCAGGGGACACGGGTTTGTGCCCCGGTCCGGGAATATCCCACATGCCACGGATCGGCTGGGCCCATGAGCCATGGCCACTGAGCCTGTGCGTCCAGAGCCTGTGCTCCGCAACGGGAGAGGCCACAGCAGTGAGAGGCCCGCATACCACAAAAAAACAAAAACAAAAAACAAACTACTGAGTGAAAGAAGCCTTAAACAAACAAGAACATATTAAATGATTCCATTTATGCAAAATTGTACAGTGGACCAAACTAATCAATGGTGAAATAAAATCAGAACAGTGGTACCTCTGAGGGGTAGGAGCAGGGGTTTACTGGGATGGGCCGCAAGGGAACTATGTGGATAAAAGTAATGATCTGTATTTTGATAAAGTTTGGGTTTTGGAGGTATATGCATTGTTTGAACTCACAGACTAGTATACTTAAGATTTCGTGGGTATTTTCAGGAAGATGGCGGAAGACTAAGACGCGGAGATCACCTTCCTCCCCACAGATACACCAGAAATACATCTACACGTGCAACAACTCCTACAGAACACCTACTGAATGCTGGCAGAAGACCTCAGACCTCCCAAAAGGCAAGAAACTCCCCACGTACCTGGGTAGGGCAAAAGAAAAAAAGAAGAAACAGAGACAAAAGAATAGGGATGGGACCTGCACCAGTGGGAGGGAGCTGCGAAGGAGGAAAGGTTTCCACACACTAGGAAGCCCCTTCCCGGGCGGAAACTGCAGTTGGCTGAGGGGGGAGCTTCGGTACCGCACAGGAGAGCAAAGCAACAGGGGTGCGGAGGGCAAGGCGGGGAGATTCCTGCACAGAGGATCAGTGCGAACTGGCACTCACTAGCCTGAGAGGCTTCTCTGCTCACCTACCGGGGCGGGCGGGGCTGGGAGCTGAGGCTCGGGCTTCGGTTGGAGCGCAGGGAGAGGAGTGG